CTGTGGTGGAGCTTTGAGATTTGAGATGTGTAGAAAGGAGGGGGCAACTGACGGAGGTAATCATGGAAGCTGCTGTTTCTCTTTCCGGGAGCCTGGCATCTTCATTCACCTCTTCTAACAGGTAGTTTAATGCCTCTTCCCAGAATCCATGAAGACCAGATGGACAGAGAGTGGAAAGTCAAAGGAAAGGAAGTTGGCTATATTGTGCTACAAAAAGGAATGTGTATCTTCTGTCCAAAGGAAGAAGAATGTGTGGAATGAACAAATTAACCCAGAGTGTTGACTGGCTGGCCTCTTATTCTAGTTCAGCTGAAAATGATTTCAGGGAGGCGAGGCTTTCCCAATAGAAATAATTTTTCGTCTTATTGAAGGAAGTCTTACCTTTGTTCAACTTGGAGCTTCTTTCTGTGTTATTAAACCATATTTATTTTTCATAATTGGTCCTTTAGCACTTATGTAGTGTAGAAGGCAAGTCATCTTTTGGGATGTTATAATGGTTTAAAGTAGTAATTGCTTAGGCCTTCCATCCTGCCAACAATTGTGTTTGAGTAGAATTCTGAGTCTGAGTCACTGAGTAGAACATGTAATTAACATGACTAAAGGAAGAACTCTGATCTGTGAAAATTCTGGTCTTCAGTGTATATATCTATAAAATGAAATAACTGGAAACACACCTCTAAGGGGCCTTCTAATTCAGACAATCTAGGATACCCCAAATCTCCCACTCCTGTAATCCCCTTCTTCCATTAAGTTCTTATTTGTCCTAATGGACACCTTCCTCTACTTCTATACCATTCTGTGAGATTTTGATGTTTACCAAAAGTAAAGAGTAAGAAGTGGGGATAGAGGCCAGATATGGCTGGTTTTCTTGAGGATAGAAAGTGGGAACAAAATAAGTTATCATTGTAACAGAGTGAAATGCTCAATCTTTTGGACTCCATCTTGTTCAGTCCTGCTTTGTTTCCATGGCCTTCAGGTAAGTAATTTCTTGCACAAAGACAAACTAATCATTGGAGGAATTCTGCTTACAGTTTGAGTTTTACAAAAGTAACTCCTACCAGAAAGTGCCTCTCCTGAGGAGATAAAAGAAATATGTATTATTTATCAAAGATTTGCATGTACCTCCGACTAGACTTGTGTCAACTAGGGTCAACAGGCTAAACATAATCTTTCCTGGACCTCTGCTGGTACCCAGATATCTGCAGTTGTTAATCACCTCTTAACCCTTCTATTTGCTCTTTTTTTTTGACATAAAACAAGCCTGAACTCTTTACTTTCTTAAGACGGATTCAAGGCGTCACTAAATCTCCCATCATCTCAGTTGTTGCCTTTTTCATCAATAAATCTTTCCCTACTCAAAACTCTAATGTTTTGAGTTTTAGCCTTTTGAAGCACCAGGCACATGGACTTTAGACTATTAAAACAGAGATAACACTATTTCTCTTCCTCTTTTTTATTCTATTCTACTAGTAGTTCTTGACTTGGTGATTGGTTGGAGCCTGGTCAAATGCTTTATCGTATTTCCTGTTAACTTCATCTGTTTCTATCAATGAAGGTTAAAAATTGCTATGAAGATTAAAAATATGAAGTTTACATTTTTTTACATTTTATTTAACAGTATGCAATAAGCATTATGGTACATGCTAACACTCAATATTTGCTAGATGGCCAATGTGTTATAGCATACAAAACATTCTCTTATCCATTATCTTCTTGCTTCTTATAAAATTGTTCCTACCTGAAGATCAGAAAGCTGGTGTGAAATGCTCAAAGACAGACAAACAAACAAACAAACAAAAAAACAAACAAACAACCAGTGTGGGCCTAAGATAGAGGTCTTGGTTGCCCAATAGAAGGCACAGTGGTTTTTACCTACTGCAAGGTAGAATCTATGGAAAGAGGATTCTTCTGGATGATTAAAGGAAGAATCCAAAGGATCCAATTCAAACAGTCTTCTTTGCTTAAAAATTTGATGTTGTCTTTCTTTACCTGGGACTGTATCCACCCTTTCAAAACTTGACCATAATAGCTGTGTGGGAAAAATCCAGTCTTCTTATCCTAATGACATATCTTTTTAATTATTACCCCCTGATTTCTAGTAATATTTGATTTTCCTACAACCTCAGAATTGCTATTGAGTATATATAAAAATCCAGAGTTCCATTTGAGAGAGATTTTCTTTCTGACCTATAGCTAGAATTCCTGAGCATGCTTTTTGCCCACAAAAGATGGCAGGCTCCTTAGGGCAATTCTTTTACCTCTGTGTCTAATTGGAAATAAGGCTGTGTTGTGTAATGGCAGGGCCTTAACTTGGAATGTATGTTGTAACAATAGCCCAGAATGGTGAAAATACACCTAAATAAAGTTTTAGGAAACTATGACTCTTGCTAGCTAATTCAGCTCTGTTTGTAGTGATGTGTTGAGAAATCCCTGGTCCTTTCTGAGTCTCAGTTTTCTCACTTCCAGAAAAAAAGACACTGGGTTATAGCTTCCAAGAGACTTTCTTGCTCTGGCATTGTATAGTTTATAAGCCTTCAACTACTATCCCTTTGTACTGGCTGATTGGTGCTTTTACATGTTTGTGAAATAGCATGGTAGGCTAAAGTTGCCTAAAAGAGATGGGACAATAGTTAGTGTAGCCTTTGTAGCAGAGGATGTGTTCTGCTGGGGGAGGGGTGCTAATCTGATGCCTCTAAATTAAAGATATAACTCAGAGACTTTTTATGGATCCACTTGACTAGCTGAATGCTAGTAGCATTATAGCTGTATATACAACTCACATAAGAATGAGGCCATGGAATGTTACCATATGGGAACACTCTAAGAACATTTGGGGAAAATGAGATTTAGAAGAAGAAATAAGTTTGCTCCTGGTCACACAGCATTAAGTATCAAGACCAAGACTCTAACACTGGACTATCTGACGTCCTGTTCACTGCATTTGTACTCTACCTCACATGATTGCTCTCATATAACACAAGTAACAGTTTGATAAAACATTCTTAGTCATAAAGGAGTCCATATTCTCCACAATCTCCCTAGCGACACTCGACAGACAAGAGGATGATAGATTTTTATAGTACTCTGGTACTAAAGGCTTTTCTGAGAAGCAATACCTTAGTTTTACCTTTGGAAAGACTATTTAGTTCTAGATTTATCTTTCTGTTTGTTACCTCTGGAGCTCACAAGAGGATTGGGTGAAATTGTATACTTAGAAGTATATTATATCTCTAAGAAAGGTCATTGCCATACTCAAATTGATTGTCTGTTTAGAAACAGGGCTCTTCTTTAATATCATGCTTAAACTTCATTTGGGGTTTCCCTAAAGTGAAATAATATGAAGTGTACTTACCAGATAATCTATCTTGACATATTTTCATCCCTTTTGGATAAAAGCAAAATTGCACCCAGTATATAAATTGACATATGGATCAGTAAATAATTCTATTATACAAGCTGTTTTAATGTACTCAGACCAGAATGCTCCATTAATCATCATATATAGAATATTCACTGAGCTTTAGGTTTACAACCAAGCCAGAAAAAAATGAGGAAAAGTACAGGGGGTATGATAAAGTATAGCAATTGAAAAGGTGAGGGGCTAGAAAAGGAACTTTAGAGGTATGTGCTATATTTTCCTTTTTTCTCTCTTCTTTTTTTCTCTTTCCCTTTGCTTTTCTTTCCGGGCAAAGGATTAAGTACAAAAAAAGGTTAAGTGTCAGCTTTCATATGTAATCATCAAAAATCTGAAAATAGGGCAGCCGAATTTGCCAGTCTCTTTTCAGACTTTATTTTTGTAAAAAGCAGCTCAGGGACCAGCCAATTGAAAAAGGGGTGTTATATACTTATGTGTGAGATGGTGTTTATACACATCTCTACATGAATAAACATTCAGAAACCACAATAGCATTCCCAAAGGAATCCTTCTTTAATACAGGAAGTCACAGCTTTGCAAAGAGACCACAATTAAGCTCCAGTTTTTCATTCTAGATCCCAGGATTTAATTTCTAGAAGAAACAAGACCTCTGTGATGTTCCATGGGCCTCTTTAGAATCACAGGCACCTTAGTTTTAAAGTTGTTGAATGTGAAGTTCCTGAGCTTGTCTTAACATTCAAGGATCTCTTTGCAATCAGAGATGTTTAAAATCACTAACCATCAATTCTAATGGGCACATACAAAAGAAGAGAACACAGAAACTACAATTTTGTTATTTAACCTGGCCATATTCCTCTGCCACAAATTCCCTCCCATCACTCTCAAGATGACTTTCTCTTGCTCTGCACTTGGGTTTACCAGATGACCAGGCCAGGGCTCTACCAGACAGTGGCTGCTTCATACATGCTATGGGTCAGGACTATGAATTTAGTGGAAAAGGGTGGAGAGAGTCTCCATTAGAGCTTTGACATATTTGTTGCTGAAATTTTGCTGGATGGAATGTATGCAGAGAATAGAGAATTCTGAGATATAGAAGTTGAGGTCACAGAATATTTTGAATTAGTTATCCTTCTTAAAGATCATATATATCTTCCTTTTTGAAAACCCCAAGTTTTTTTCTTAGTTGTTGCTTGTATTTGTGGCTCTGTGCAAATTGTTGTCATCTACCTTTCTCTTTAAAATCATCTCCCAAAATTGTCTGTTTCAGTTCCTGTCCCACCACCTTGACTCTTCCTTCTCCCTTTCTCTTTCAACCCGCACTGTCAGAATGTTGTCATGAAGTAAGTAGTCCACTGCTTAGCCTTGGCATCTGAATACCAGAATCCCATTTCCATTTCCAACTGCGATTCTTTATATAGAATTCTCTATCACACTTTGAACTCATGATTTCTGAAAACAAATTCATCCTTTTCTTCTAAATTCTTTGGAACAACTCAACTAGTTGATAGTTATCTCGGCAGCAATATAAAGCCTTACTGAGATATTTCATTCCTTTCCCACCCTTTCCTTTTTGCTGTAATCTAATGGAAACAGCTAATCTAAAGGAAAAATTCCTTTCTTGTAGGAGACAAGGAGAAGGACTTAGGATCTACTGGGGGAGTCTGGAGCAGCAATCTCTATTGTCCCGTTGGAACCCATGGTCTACTGAGGTACCTTATGCTACATTCACTGAGCATCCCGTGAGATATACCAGTGAGAAGTTCCTTGAACTTTGCAAGGTAGGAAGCAGTTTGGAATTCACTCTTGGATTATCTTTGTTGGTAAAGTTTTATGTTTCTAAAACATGTACAGTTAAAAAAATGATAAGATATAGCCTGAGCTTTATATAGATGAAAATTAAAATAGGCTTATATAAGTATTTTAATAAATAATGAAGCTGTTATATATTAATATATATAGATTTATATAAGTATTTTAATAAATAATGAAGCTGCATTATATAAAAACTATATAATATTTATAATAACCATACCATGATGTTTCTTCCTTGCTAATTTCTTAGCAAGAAGGTATAGTGTAATATTGTTTACAAATTGCAATATTTATGTTTGACCATGTTTATCACCCACAAGCTACATATCATTTTCTATGCATAATTAAATTCTAATTATTTTATTCAGAAAAATATAAAATAGTGTGAAATATGGCTCTGTGGTCATATTTAAGTCACTTTTCTCTTTGAGTCTTGGCAGTCTTATCTGAATGAAAATAATGAAAACTGACCTTCCTCCCAAACTCAATGGACCATTATAAAGTTGAATGAGATAAAGTGCATTGAAATGTCCTAAAAGTGGTAAATCAGTTAACAATATTTTATGTTTTTAAATCTCATCTCCCCAAATAGATATTAAATTTACTGGTGGCAGGGAGAGTCCCTTTTCCTATTCTTTCTTCTTTTACAAGGAAACTTAAAGCAGTGCTAGTATACTACAGCTAGTCTAAAATGGTTGGAGCCATACATGCAGTGAAAAATCAAAGTTTACATTTTCAACAAAACTAGATACACACATACAAGTTACACTTATAGGCCTAAGAATTCTTGCCTTCTCTGTCCTTTCTATGTTTACCTTTATGTGTTAGCATTCACTTCAAAATATCACAACTCTTCATTTGATATAAATTCAGACCCTGATAACCTGCATCTAAAGTCTTCTGTAGTTAGATGACTCACTTTGTATTTCTTGCATTATTTGAATATACTTAATTAATAAAATATACACATATATGCATAAATAAATATTTTAAATTGGTAAGTCCTATATTCTAAAAAGGATTTGAGGAAAAATATATGTGATAACAGACTGGTTGGGGTCTTTAGCCTTATTTATATACAGACAAAGTTGGCTTGAATCCTTTTCTGATCTAGAAAAAGTCGGTGGTTCTTTAGAGGTGTATGCAGTCATCCTCAGGGACCTATGGTCTCAAGCTTACCTCTGGCTCCAAGTTATTGCAGGCACTGAATTAGTTCATTGTATGAATAATGTTTCTATTATTTCTGGAGCAGCAACCTTAGTTGTCTCTGTATGTCATGATTCTATTTTACAAAACCTTGACCCAAGCCCCAACATTAGCCCCTAGGCTGACTCTTTTACTGCCCAAAGTCAATAAAACAAAACAAAATGAAAACCAGTAAGAACAACATAACACTTATACAAAGGCATTTAAGTGAAAGAAGACCCATTGAAGGCTTTAGGGAGTATATCATAATAATGCCATAAATTTCAAATGGAATACCAGATCTCCATGTTTTAAAAGACCTTATTAATGATAATGTTCTAATGCATTATTCCACAATTCTTTCTTCCTCTATCTTGCTCTTGCCACACCACCAAATTCAGTTTTATTTTTTCTTAGTAATAACACAATGTCGTTTATCTGTTTCTTTTTTTAACATTTGTTATTCTAACACAAGAACTCAATAATGTAACTTCCCAAAGCCATTCCCCATCTTTAAAAGGAATCTAGTTCTAGCCTTTAATATAATCTATATTTTTAATTAATAGTAATTATATTTTATTATAATTCAAAATAATACGAGCTTAATAAATAAATGCCAACAATAGCCTTCATTATTTCATCCATCACTTCCTGCCCAAAGTCTTCTCTTGTCCCTTATACCTGGTGCATTAAGTACTTATTCCCTGAGTGTCATTTACTAGAAGAAATTTAAGGTGAATGGTTAAAGAACAATTTCTCTTAACTACAGAGAAATGACACCAGTATTACTCTAATATCTGTAAGTGCTTTGCTTTATTCTGTTACATATAAATACAATCAAATAACTTAAGGAGAAAGATAAAACCTAAAATTCAAAAGGGGATCGGAATAATTAAAATTTTTGCCAAGTGCTCCTATTAGCTAAAGCTGAAGGGGGAATTTGATGTTCATATAGTTCTTGTTGGACAGAGGTAGGAACAACTCTGTGTGTGTGTGTGTGTGTCCCCAATCTGTGGGTTTCAGCATGATGAATGGTCAGCTGATTGGTTGGTTTTCATTCAATCAAACTTTGTGGATATGTTAGATGTGTTGCTTTTAAGGCTTTTCTTCATTTTTCTTCCAAAGTATTTTTTTTAATTTCTGGCAAGAGTCTGGTGCTCTTATTTGCCAAGCCATTTCTTAATTCAAAGACCACCCCAATCACAACTCTGCAGGAAAACAAGTGATCTCCATCTAGGATGTAAAATGATGAGTCTCTTATCCAAATCTTAGAGTATTCATTTTTATTTTGTTGTTGGTTTTATGTCACAGTGTTATTTGTGTTCAGGAAATTTTCCCAGATTGGCTTTGATTAAGACTCAGTTATATTAAACTGAAGGAATAAATAAGAAGAAAAGATAAATTTGGAGGCACAGAATACCTTTTATAAGAACATTTTGGCATAACATGAGATGTTAAAAGGTTAAAATAAACTAGTTTTTACATTCCCTTTATGAATAAAACAGGTAAAAGTAAAAGAATATGGATGAAGTTTTATAACTAAATCAAATACCTGAAGCAATTTAATTTAACAAAACTATTATGGCTCAGGAAAGAGAATCATAGAGGGCTGAGTCACATGAAGTCAAAATCTTCAAATTATTTACAATATAATGGAGTAATTTCTTATGTCAAAATATCCAAATTTATTTTTACCCAAAATATTTTTTTCTGTAGCTCTTGGAAGCTTCTTATTCGATAAATGTTTCCTGACACCTATAAAATGCAGGAATTATGACTATTGTTAAGGATACAGAAATCAATGGGATAAGATTCTTACCTTTGCTTAATGCATTGCTTAATAGAGGAGGCAGAGAAAAATGCAAAGATTTTTCAATGAATACCAATTGGCTAAAAAAGAAGTTTGGATCAAATGAAGAGAGGTGGAGGCATGTGCAGGTAAAAGGCGTGTTCTTAGACAAAGAGTAATTTCATTTAGAGGGAGTTTGATCCTATATATTCACCATCATAATTTTAATAGCTCAAAAAATATAGGGTAGAGCAAAATTAGTTTTACAGTTATTCATATGAAAAAATAACACTGTAATTAATAATTAATAATATATGAGTAAATTTTGTGCTATATATTCATAACTGTAAAACTATTTTGGCAGACTTTGTAGGTAGATGAGATGAGCTTAAAGTAAGTTAGAGGCAGTAGGAATTGAGAAAAGTAGAAGACATTTTGAGATATTCAGAATATAGAATCAATGGAAGAAGGTAACTGACAGGATATCATAGGTGAAGAAGAGGAAGATTTCAAAGGTGACACATTTTCAGCCTAGGTAGATGGTGGGTCCATTAATTTAAATGGGGAAAGCTAAAAGAAGAGTAGATTTAGAGGTTCAGTTTAGGACTCGAATTCGAAATGTCCATGGAACATAGGGTAGAGTTTGTTGTCCAACAGCTAGAAATTTAGGTCTAAAGCTCAGGAGAGAAAGCTGAGCTGGTGACAGAGGTTTCAGATTATACAACATTGAATCAAAGTTGAGTCATGGGGTTGATTGGTTAGGAAATTACCCTAGGAAAGAACCTTTATGGACACAAATGTCATTCAAATTATAATTTATATTATCTTCTCATCTCACCGATGTAAAAATCACAATCAAAGTATGTAATAATATGCCAAAATACATTTTTTAAAATCCATCTCATTAGAGCATTTCTACATCTGGCAAATGTGATGAACAAATGGTGTTCTTCCAGACATTCTTGCTTTTCCCTGACCCTCCCCAACATTTTCCAATCTTCATGCACCTACTTTGCATTATTCATATAAAATAGTTGTGAAAATATAAAATAATACTTTTTGGCATTGCTTATATTATTATAAGACATAAACATAATCTCATATATTATGTAATTATACTTTACATTTATTGATTATAGCTTGTATGTTTTCATGTAATTCACTAACAAAGCCCTATGAGATGAGAACAGGTATCTCCATTTTTAAAATGAGGGTACCTAGCCTTGGCTGGGTAGCTAAGTTCATAAGAGCATCATCCTGATATGCCGAGGTTACAGGTCTGATCCTAGGTCAGGGCACATATAAGAATCAACCTATGAATGCATAAATAAGTGGAAGAGAGAATCAATTTCTCTCTCTCTCCTCTCTCTCAAGTCAATAATAAAAATATAATAATAAAAATTAAAAAAATAAAACCCAACTTACTTAGAGTGATTGAGTTGACTAAGATATTGCAATAAAATAGCTTTATTTCTAAACCAAACTATTTGCTAGTATGCAGACAAATGTATTTAAATTTGAAGAAACTCTTTGTGTGTATTCATATTCATTGATGTGATATGATATAATGTCTTATTATACATTATGACCAGTCTAAATTATTCTCCATTATTTTACCAACTTAACATTTGCAATTTGTAGCAGTATCTTCCCTCTTAATTATTGACTTGTTGGGTTCTTGGAGTGTGTGGAGAGCCTTGCTCTGAGTGACTACTGATGGTCCAGAGGTGGTCATGGAAGGTCTACAGCCAAATTAAAGTGATCTGCTTTCTAACCCTTCTTATTCTTTTCTGGTATTGTTACCTTTCTTTTTCAGGGAATTATAAAAGTGAACCAATATTTTACCAATCAAATGTAACTTTACATCCTTAGCCCTTTCATTTTTTCTTCATATCAATTTAACCAGTATTCATTGAGTACCTGCCTGGTATTGAACCCTACATGCTGAGCAGTGTGTTAGTAATCTGGGATACCAAGAAGAATGAAACAGAT